CTTCCATGACTCTCTGTAGATAAAAAATATATCGATTCTTCTATATACCTCAATGCATGATAACATCCGATGAAATATCCATAGAAAATAAATAACCTGCATATTCTCCATTATTCGATGTCTATGATATAATGCAATGTAATTGGAGTATGAGATAATAGGAATTCCATAGATAGTGCACTAACAGTTGTTCAAAATTTCCAGTAGAATTTGCGATCTTCCAATCAAATTGAAATTTCTATAATAACAAGATCTATGATCTATCAAGATCGCGCTGATTTATTCATTTGTTAAAATGAAGAAATGGAATTCATTGAATTTCATTTTCTTATGANATACCTTATAAATATTGATAATGAATCAAAGAGAATTCGACTAATGATTGAAGTGAATAGCGAAGTAGAGTAAAAGAATCTATAAAGAATTTTGCATTTTCAATTAATTATCTTCAATTTTTTAAAATAATCGGTCTCCATAACAGGACAGAATTTATTTAATTTCACCGATGATATGTATATATGTGAAATATATATATATATATATATATATAACATATATATATATATATAACATATATATATATATATATATACCGTCAATTTGACATGAAATAAGTCCATTCCTGGCGTGATTCAGACCGATTTTTCGGGTCAATTCAGGATGACTTTTTTTGGATGTGAAGTCGTTTAACCCTTGATCACTCGCGCTCGGCCGCCAGCCTTTATCTGTTGCACGATTAATGCAGCCCCGCTGGTTTAAACCGAGCGCGCGGTTGCCACGTTGATGCTTATCAGTGAATGCAGCAACACTGTTGGTCAAGCGGTCGACGGGGGCTCACTCGCACCATGTGTCGCGGCGCCGCTTTTTTGTCCGTTCGACGTTTCTATTTTTTTTCAGCAAAACAAATTTCCCGAGAAAAAACGGACAATGCGCACTCTTAATGAAGGAATTGAACTAGGAATTCCAATTTTTTCCGAATTGTTAAGCGTCGAGAAACACGCTAAAATATCAAAAAATGGAAACGGGCAGCACCGCGCTCATCGAGCGAGTGATCAACAGGGCCGACAGAAGATGAGGGGTGACAGTGGTGAAAACCCCATATGGGATTTTGAGGTGCGGGGTTTATCCCATATGGGGTTGGGGAATGAAATAAATTATTATTACCATTGGCGGATACTACGTGCACGAATGAGAGGACTGTTTCGGTCGTGAAATAAGACTACTCACGATACCGAGACTGGACTCACTCTCGTTTCATGTCGTCTCAGTTTCATGAACCACTGCCGATATGATACCACGTCCAAAATTTCCAAGATGATACTCGCTTAAACGTGAGTCTCGATGAGACTTAAAAATTTGTCGCTCGTCTCGTTAGTTGCAATGCATGGGCTTCGAGGACAGCGTTGACAGATTGAGAGTTGACCATCGCCAATGGAGAAAGGAAATCCACCACGGAAATGCCCGGCAGTGGCACTTGGTTCACAATTTGGAAAGTCTCAAAGGTGAATCTCGTCAGGATCCCACCTCAGAAAGGTCATGCCTCGCGAGACCCTAGTAGAAATTTGATTGCGCAGAAACGTCGCGGTGTAAGTTGGCACGCGACATTGCCTTTCGCGGCGATGTAACTCAGACCTCAAATCCCGTCAATTAAGAATTGACAATCTTCAGATTATGCGTGTTAATTCAAATCAATTATTGGAGAATTAACAATGTGTTAGTTAATCATCAATAGAATGAGAAAATGGGAGCGCACCGCATCAGTGTCGCATAGGGTTCCGGCAGCAATCTAGCCGCGGAGTACGGTAGCGCACTCCATGCGTGCAGTATTAAAAAGAATTAGTTATTGTTAACGAATGGATTTGGTTGGAGAAGAGGGTCTATTCGGTCTCACCAAATGTTCATTCATTAATAGTTAACAAATGCACATTTGAAGAGCCTTGTTTGACTCGATTTCCATTTTTCAATTGAACCATTCGTTAACTATTAATGAATATTCATTTGATCATATTCAACTCTACCATTCGTTAATAGTTAACGAATCTCGTTTGAAATAAATGAATCAGTGTATCAGTGAGAATGTCGCTGCAACAGCCAATGTCGCAAAGCCTCTCACAATTTCTACTAGGGGAGTCGAATGTAGCAAGAGTCATATTGCGCGAATATCAAACATAACTCACAAGGGTCAGCTAAGGTAGGCAAACAAGAAAGGGTCAAACGACCACAAAGGTCAACCGGGAGAGGCAAACAGGACAGCACCGGGGGGAAATTAGAGAGGAAAGCATGATAATCACAAAATTCGAACGATCGTGAGGGTCAAACAAAAGAGCTTTCCGATTATTCCGCTAAATTTATTATCGTTTGACTCTTGTCGTCATCCTCCCTGTTCCTGTGATTTGACTTTTTTGAGATCGGTTAACCTTCGCGAGGCATGACCCTTCGCGAGATATGAGCCTTGTGACTGTCGCGAAAAATGCTCGTTCCGATATATGATTAAACATACGGAATTGAAAAGTAAAGAATTTTTCTTCCTTTTCTCTTAATTAAGTGAAACCGAGACGAGACAGAGTTGAATGATACAGGCTTTTGACTTATTTAGGGATATCAGATTAAGTCAAAGGGCTCTGCTATCCATATTGGAGGAACCCTCCCCCTTCTCTGTCCATTTTCATTCCTGTCATCCAGTTGCTACTCCTATACGAATTTGGATATCGCCCCTATTATTTTTCAAATTCATTAATTAATAACTCTTTAACTAAGCTCCAGAGCCAAAGTCAAAGAGGAACTATCAACTCAGAAATTCACCTTCTTTCATTCCTCGAAAGATTACACTGGAGTTTGGGGACACTCGGTATAATGGTAGATAAAAATTTACTATCGTTCTCATCATTTGCTTCATCTCGCCCTCATCTGTTTAATATTCGAGCTTGGTGACCCTCGTGCCCAATAGTCGACCCTTGTGCCCCTTGAATGTCAATGCCCTGGATCCCTCTCTTGCTTCCCCCTCCTACTCCCCACCTTATACTTGGCAGTCACCCCACATGACAAATTGCTCTTCTGCCGGCCCTGGTGATCGAGAGTCAAAATTAATGAAATCAATCGATGTCAATGAGGCCGAAACCCGATATCGAACTAGTAATTCGGAATTAAGAATTTATATAATATAATGATCAGAAACTAATTGTTTTCCTCGAATTAGTTTCCCATTTGAGGAACAGCACATTATACAACATTTGTACAACTTGAAAATATCCATTTTATCTTACCTCTCTTATTTATTGAAAATTCATCATGATTTCAATGACTGCAATTTCTGCAAAATTATTTATTTTTAATCAATGAATTCATTTGATTTAACGCTGTAATCCCGTGAAATTGATTTTATTTCGAAGTCATAGTATCGATCAATCGTGAAATAAGTATTCTCTTGACTTGATTCAAAAATAAATCCCTCTAAGCTATCTCGAACATCTCCCCTAAATATAGTATAACTTCGGTTTAATGATGAAAATTATCCGCCAATAAATGAGTGCTGAATTAATTGATTATTTTCATTAAATGATCCGCAAACAACATTTAACCTAAAAGAAATTACAATATACACCTAAGTCATGAATCATTTCTATTTTACCTATTCAGGTGTGTGTAATCAATTAGGTTTAAAAATCTTTTTTCATCTTCGGAGATTATTTACTTTTGAAATAGTTGATTTCGTAGCGAAGTAAAAAAGAGGCCAAAGAAGAAAAATCGTTGACATATCTATTGGACCAGACGAATGACCATTGAATCTTTCACAAGTGGTTCATTTATATTCTATGTCTAGTCTGTTTTCTAGTGAGCGGCTTTCGGCCCTTATGTTCGTATTTTGTCTCCAACCCGATAAACTCATATATATATATATATATATATATATATATATATATATATATTCAATGCTCCATATATACGTGTTGGAGAAGAGTAAACTGGACATAGTGCTGAGTACTGTGAGCGTGCAAGGGGACTTGATCAGATCATTCGGTGGGGATCAAATCCCATCGACTATACGGAATCCTGATTCTCTGGGTTAAACACAGATTCAATAAATGAAGAGGAGTAGAATAGAGATCAGAGAGTAATGAGACGAGAAAAAAAAGGAGAGAAAATCAAGGTTCAAGAAGATGCTAAATTACGTTAAAATTGTATTTAAACGTTGGAATAATGAAGACAGACAAGTGAAGATAAGACGGAGTGTCAAGTATCCAAGGAAAATTGCTAGGCTTTAATGGTGAGGTTTTAAATGACTAAGGCGGGTGAGAATAATAAAGCAAGTGTCACGGGATATGGAGTGGGAGCGCCTGATTACTGGGAAATGTATGGAGGAGCTTTACTTCCGCGAGTTTTTCCCGATGCTCCCATCCAACGAGTGGGAGTCAGTGGGAGTTCTATCCAATGAGAGTTCAAGCGCTGTAGATGAGAGTACCCACATGTCTCATTCCGGGAATTGCATTTTATTCTTGTTGACTGCAAAATTTTCGATACAAACTGAGATTTTTTCTTTGTATTTGTTTGATGCGGGCAAAATCATATCATTATCATGTGAATAATTTTGTAGACATGTCAGAGTGAATTTTTGGAATCGACAAAATTTATGATTGAGAAGTTAGAAAGGAGATTCGAACTTAACGAAAATTGAAATTTCATAATTTCCAATTATCCCGTGAACCTCTCCATCAGAAAATGTTGATATTTCTCTTTGCATTCTTTCCCTTTGTATAAGATGCCACTCTGGAAGTTTGCACGGTGACGGAAATTCAATTAAATGCATAGAGAAGATGAAAAATATTCTTTACATTTCATTCCCTTAAAGCTTAGAAAATTTTCGTCCTCCTTTAACGTCTCTCGTTCTATCCGCACCAAAATAAAAAAAAGAGTCATTTTCCGTTCACCAGAAGTATCTAATAACTTACTCCATGGTGTTTGTATTGTGTCGAAAGAAAAGTAAAAGAAGAACCGAAACTTACGTCTGCCGCAGGTTTTCCCCCCACGCTGATACATTCCAGTGTGAGTTCACGATCTTCCGTAGTAACAAGAAAATCGCCCTGAAGGATTTTCGGCTTTTGAGGTGGTACAAGAACACTCAAACGTGCGAATCTTGATCTCAGCCCAGGTTGTCCATCATTGGTGGGCGAAGCTTGGCATTGATATTTCCCATCGTCCTCCAATTCCACTGGAAAGATGTGTAATGAAAAATCTCCTAGAAATCGAACAGAACACATAATTAAATATTAATCGCAAGATATAAACTTTTTGCCATAATTATTTTCGGAATTAAATATAAAAATTGAAATTAAAATTAAAATTAAAGTCTTATCCTTCATTTATTTTTTTGTCCACAAGTTTGTGAGCAGTAAGCAGCTTTAGTTCTTAAAAAGGGGAAAAATGGATAACGAGAGAGAAAAACAAAGAGATAAAATGCACTGTATTTTTTTGGTAATCTTCAGAGCAATAGCACATTCCAACGAAACTGTATCCGCCCGTCACTGACATTGTATGCACAGTTCTGTGCGCATTTATATTATTACTGGGCGACGTACACGGCAACGAGATATACCCTCGGTCTCATTATTAATAATAATGTCACCCCAGGAATGAATGATTATTTATGCAGACGCATCAATCCACAAGAAAGCATTCACTGCATTGTAATTTTGAACTAGATATGAAAAAAAATTCAGTAACTTTTCAAAAATCCGCCGTGCATGAATTATAATCATTCTTCTGTATTTTTTGCAAATCTGTCTGTCATGTTTTTTTTGTTACCGAGTTCGTACGTGTTGTGTCAAGAATAGGCTCCATGTCTGTAGAAGAGTTTCACGAGTATCTATGTTTTTATTAGGTGTGTGACTTAATTTTTACAGATTTTTTTTTCGAGCTTAAAATTATCCTTAAAATAGAAATATATTTGCGGTCGTTTCTGGTTTTGAAAGGATCGGACAAAAGGTTTCAGACTACTGAACGACAAGTGTGTAAATTACATAACCATTCAGAATAGCAGAGTTTACGATGGCAACTGATAAACAGCACATTCGGTACTGCATTTTATAGGAATTCCAAGAAGGAAAAAATGCTTCTGAAGCACGGGAATCACTGTGTAGTGTTCTTGGTGCCGACGTTATATCTTATGAAACGTGTAATTATTGGTACAAATGTTTTAGAAGTGGTGATTTCGATCTGACTGACCAGCCGCGTCCTGGACAGCCTCGAAAGTTTACAGATGCGGAATTGCAAGCTCTACTGGATGAAGACTCAACGCAAATGCAACAAGAGCTTGCAGCTCAGTTAGGAGTCACCCGTACAGCTATTTCTAAGCGTTTGCGTCAAATGGGAAAAATCCAAAAACTTGGAAGGTGGATCTCACATGTGTTGACCGAACAAAACCTAGGTCAACGTATGAATACGTGCCTTTCACTGCTTGCCCGGCAACAAAAAAAGGACTTCTTGTGGAGAATTGTGACGGGTGATGAAAAGTATTTTTTTTTCAATTTCATTGGTTTTATCGAAGTAATTCTCGATTTGAAACCCCTCCTCTAGCCTGCCTCCCCTCCTTTCTTTTTCCTCTCATTGTTATCTGCGGTATCATGGCCGTCTTACTCTTAGCTGTGCCCCATTCGAGCTAGGACTGCACGGGAAACCATGTAAAACCCCAGTCGCACAGCCGGCCGATTGTGCAGTACCCTAATATATCCATCTGTCACACTGACTAGATGGAGACACTAGGCCGCTACACCGTACCTAGCGCCCGCAATTTTTGTGCGCGCGAGGTGTTCCTAAGCGGTCACCCATCCAAGTACTAACCCAGCTCAACGCTGCTTAGCTTGGATGTCCGCCGGAGCAACACCTCACCCACCTAACCATTACAGTCGGTGGTGATGAAAAGTATATTTTTTACGAGAATCCCAAACGTAAAAAGTCGTGGGTAGATCCCGGACAATCCAGCACATCGACGCCGAAACAGAACATCCACTTAAAGAAGATTCTCCTATGTATCTGGTGGGACATGAAGGATATGCTTTATCACGAACTCCTGGAAACAGGTCAGACGGTCACTGCGGAACGCTACAGTCGACAACTGAACGAACTGAGCGAAGAACTTGATCGGAAAAGGCCATTTACTGGGCAAAGAAGCAGGCAAGTCATACTGCTGCATGACAATGCTCGACCGCACGTTGCTCGCGCAACTTAGAAGACCCTCTTAAACTTGGGATGGGAAGTTCTCCCGCACGCGGCATATTCACCAGACTTGGCCTCATCCGACTATCACTTGTTCCGGTCCATGCAGCACGCCTTAGTGGATAAACAGTTTAAAACGCTGGACAATGTGCGAAAATTCGTCGATGACTTCATCGCCTCGAAGCCTGCAAGTTTCTTTCGCGACGGCATTCGAATGTTACCTGAGAGATGGCGTAAGATCATAGAAAACGATGGACAATATTTCCAAGATTAAGTTCGTTGTTCTCTATTTTTCTATATTAAATAAATTTACTGACAAATCTGTAAAAATTAAGTCACACACCTAATAATAAATGAATTTACTAACTAAAAGCAAAAATGAGAGATGTATTTCATTCATTTCTTCATTGTAGGGGAGGGTGGGGCAAAACGGCCCCCCTTCAATTGTCAATAACTTGTGAATGACATTGTGAAAATTCCCAGTTTCAACTTCATTTTGAAGATAATTTTTCATTCTTCAAAACGAGCTCTAACTCATCCCAATCGGATTGTTGAATCGGAAAATATCGACGATTGAAGGGGGGCCGTTTTGCCCCATCCTCCCCTACTCAAGATACTGCTTTGTCGAGTTTATTATTATTATTATTATTTTTTATTCATATTTCTTTCCTACTACCATTACGGTTTTATAGGCTCCCCATTCGTCTGCCTTGTCTCTCCCACTTTTCTCTTGTGATTTTTTTTGCGTTACCATGGGCCGTCTTACTCTTAACTGTACCCCATTCGGGCTAAGACTGCAAGGGAAACCATGGAAAACCCCAGTCGTAGAGCCGGCCGATTGTGCAGAGCCCTAATGTGCTCTTCTGTCACACTGACTAGAAAGGCACATTAGGCCACTGCACCGTGCCTACCTTCCGAAATTTTTGAGCGAGGATGTCCCTAAGCGGTCACCCATCCAAGTACTAACCACGCTAAACGCAGCTGCACTCGGATGTTCGCCGGAGCAACACCTAATTCACCCAACCATTAGGGTCGGTTTTTATTATTATTATTATTATTATTATTGTTATTATTATTATTATTACTACTACTACTACTACTACTATTATTATTATTATTATTATTATTATTATTAATTTTTTTTTTATTCATAAATGAGATCGCTGAACGATCCTCGAGGGCTCCAACTTCACCTCTAAGACCGCCCAGCAAACTAAGCGATACAAACTTCTCCTGATCGCTCTGCAATCGTGAGGTCTACTGCAGTCCAGAATCATGCTGCCTAAGTAGACGAAGGGACCCAAGGATGACAGCCTTCTGCATTTGGCCAGCTAATATGAAGGCATTACGCCTATAAGCCGGGATAATTTCGAGTGCGGATATGAAAGACTGCTACATTCCCCCCACAGAGCCAATAATGAGAACAACCAATTTTACTCTGAAGCCCCGGTTCAGTTGACGTAGCTCAAACAGGAGTGGTTGATACTTGAGCCGCTTGTCCTCTTCTTTAGCTGTTACATTGGTTTCAGCCGGAGCCGAGAACTCAATGACATGGATGATTTTGTCATCGAAATCAAAGAGGATAATGTCAGGCTTGATTGCAGCGATAAGTCTGACAGTCGCGAATGAGAAATTCCAGTAGATCTTACACATCTCATTCACGACGATGGACTCAATATCAACTGGAGCATAGGACACCATCGGCGTTCAGTCTATTCCATAGGAGTACCGCAGATAATAATACAGTACTCTCAAAGCCGCATTATGACGATGAATATAACTCGTAATTGCATACGTCGAACAAGCCGATAAAACATGCGGTAGAGTTTCCGGGGACTGTCTACAAGCCCGACATCGAGATATCCAATAATTTTCCTATGACGTCACAAAGATGTGGAACGCTATATAAATTCTCCTCTTTAATGTAGAAATGTTCTTTATTATTATTATTATTATTATTATTATTATTATTATTATTATTATTACTATTACTATTATTATTATTATTATTATTGTTATTTTTATTATTATAAAATACTCGTAAATGAGATCGCTGAACGATCCTCGAAGTTTTCGACTTCACCTCAAACACCGCTCAGTAAGCTAAGCGATGCAAACTTTTCCTAATCGCTCTGCAGCAGCGCTTCCTTTCACCAGAGGGTGCGCTTTACTGCAGTCCGGAATCATGCTGCCTAAGTAGATGGAGGGACCCAAGGATGACAGCCTTCTACATTTGGCCAGCTAATATGGAGGCATTACGCCTACAGATCGGGATGGTTTCGAGGGCAGATATGAAAGACTGCTTAATTCTCCCTAGAGAGCCAATAATGAGGATAACTAATTTTATTCTGAACCCCCGGTTTAGTTGACGTAGCTCGAACAGGAGTGGTTGATACTTGAGCTGCTTATCCTCTTCCTTAGCCGTTATATTGCTTTCAGCCGGAGCTGAGAACTCAATGACATAGATGATTTTGTCATGAAAATCGAAGAGGAGAAGTTCCAGTAGATCCAGTACACCTCTCACTCACAACGATGGATTCAATATCTCGTGTAGCATAAGGCAGCACCGGTGTTATGTCTATTTCGTAGGAGTGCCGCAAATGATAATACAGCACTCCCAAAGCCGCATTATGACGATGGATATCACTCGTGATTGCATACGGCGGACAAGCCGATAAAACATGCATCACAGTTTTCAAGGACTGATTGCAAGCCCGACATATAGGGTCCTGAACTTGCAACCTCATAACACGACTTCGATAGACCATAATATTTATTACATCGTCCTGGCATGCGCAAAGGAATCTCTCAGTCTCAGAAATCAAGCCAACTGATTTTAAGAATGACAATGTCAGCTGGATAGACAGAACCTGCTGGGCAGATCCACTGGGCCGTTCTTCGCTGAGACTTGATAATGCTGGCCAATGATTCACTAGCCAACTGGCCATCTCGACTAAGTGGAAACTGCAAATCAAGAGAAACAGCTGCGGTATCTGCTGCCTTATGCAGAAAAGCCTGAAGCCC